GAGGTTTGATTGCGCATGATGGAAGTTCAGCCAGAAGAGCATTGCAATAATCCAGCCTAGAAATTACAAGGGTCTGGGCAAGAAGTTGTGCAGCATGCTCTGTTTGGAAGGGCCTGATCCTCCTGATGTTGTGCAATCGCAAACCAACATGATCGAGCTGTCTTTACAATATGGTCCTTGAAGGTCAGCTGGTCACCAAAGAATCATTTTTGATGAACCTATAGCAGGATGATGAAATCATGCTGTAGAGTCGGAGTGGCAGGGAAAACAAGAAGCTCAGTCTTCGCCAGGTTGAGCTGCAGGTTATGTTCCTTCATCCCAGCGTTAATTTCGTTGACGATCAACTTTCGTCATAATTGTCGTCAACGACATTTTTTTCACCGACGACAGCGAGACGATAACGAACTAAAACTCTTTTTGAATGACAAAAACTATGACGTATATCTATTTACATTTTCGTCAACGAATAAAAACGAGACGAAAATGTTAGGGAGGGATGATTTGGGAAGAGATTCAGAACGAATCTGCTGCGTGGTTCGGAGGTTATGCGTACATATGAACCGGCAGGACATAAGCTAAAATACACTTGCTGCACGTGCATAAAACGTTCAAAACATGTCAATATGTGGGAGTAAGAGAAGAGCAGACATATGGATAAATCTGACGACGCAAGAGAGAGCTCAATTCGGTCCGGTTTTCTGAGCGCAGACACTATACACATAAAGCGCGTCTCAGTGTGCGAGTACTCTTTGAAGAATATGGTAAACAAGTTGCTATAAAGAATGCATAATTAGCCTATATAACCATTGGTATTTCATTAAAAAGTAGACCATGTTCTTGTTCTTTGTGAGAAGTTGTTTTATTTAATTTTAACATAAAGGCATGTTGTGTTTCACAGCAGTCAAATCGGTGTCTATCATGATAAAACCTTAATATCAAACCTGCAGTTAAATCGGTGTCTATCATGCTAAAACCTTAATATCAAACCTATATAATGAGTTTGGAAATTTTAGAGAAATGCTTCATAAATGCACTGTAACTAACCCATTCTATTTTAGCCGACTAAGTTTACTGTAGATTTAGTTTTACTAAAACTAGACTAAAAACAATTCAAGATGACTAAAATATGACTAAAACTAAACGGCATTTTAGTCAAAAGACTATGACTAAAACTAAATCAAAATTTGCTGTCAAAATTAACACTGCTTCATCCATGCCGAGATGTTTGCCAGGCGGCCTGAGATCCATGCAGATACTATTTGATTGTCTGGTTGAAATGAATGATAGAGCTGTGTGTCATCAGCATAGCAATGGTAGGAGAAACCATGTGCTTGTATAATGGGTCCCAGTGATGTAGTGTATATGGTGAAGAGGAGGGGTCTAAGAACTGATCCTCGAGGAAACCCTGTGGCCAGTTGATGTTCTTTGGATACCTCTCCTCCCCAGGAAACCCTGAAAGACCTACCTGTGAGATAAGATTCAAACCAGTGGAGTGCAGATCCGGTGATGGCAGACAGGATAATCTGATGATTCACAGTGTCAAAAGTGGCAGATAGATCCAGCAGAATAAGAACTGATTATTTGGAATCAGCTTTCGCTATTTGCAGGGCTACAGTGACCGACAGCAAAGCAGTCTCAGTTGAATGGCCGCTGCTGAAACCTGATTGGTTAAAGTTCAGTTGGTCATTCTGTGAAATAAATAATGTAACTGTGTCTATAAAGGTGTGAACCAAGGTGTCTATAAAGGTGTGCAGATAGGACGCAGCTTTGCATGATTGCGTTGCCGTCTGCGTGTGATGTTAGAGTGTTGTTGAGAGAGAACAAGAATGTATTGGAAACATACTACCGCCTACATGACTCTGCCTGAGAGGTAAGGAAAAATACACTTTTGTTGAGATTAGATTTTTTTTTATATCTCTAAAATAAATGATTGTGTTCTTGAAAACAATCTTTTAAAATATTAGTTAGGTGGTGTGTGGTGGCTGTTCTGGCGCAATATGGCTGCCGTTGCATCATCCAGGTGAATGCTGCACATTGGTGGTGGTTGAGGAGATTCATGTAAAGTGCTTTGAGTACCCAGAAAAGCGCTATACAAATGTAACGAATTAATAATTAATTAATTAAAGTTTGGGTTGAAGGGTTCTGGAACAGTGTTGTATATACAACTTAACCACTGATTTCTAGTTGTGTCCTCTTTTGGAAGGCCGAACAAAGTTTCGCTTTCACAACGAAACACACGACGGGCTAGAGTGAGGAACGGCCGGCGGCCTAGAGTGAGCGGCAGACGGCGGGCTTGAGAACGGCGCGGCCGGAGGATTCGACAAAGGAGCGGCCGGCGGGCTTGCGGCAAACACATGTGACGACCCCAGGCTGGACTCCGCTTCATCCACGGTGAAAGCCGATCCGGCGATCCACAGCGCGAAGTTGATGTATTTCCTCAGCGACCAGCATGGATCAGCTCTAGGCATGACGAAGCGGATATCGTCCTCTTTTGGAAGGCCAAACAAAGTAGTTTCGCTTTCACAACGAAACACACAGTGCCTTCACGACATGGCAGCGGCGGCAACAACAATACTACAGCGAGAATAAAAGTTACACCTTCTTTCTTTGCGTGAACATTTGGGCGGCGTTATGCAAATCTTCCCACATCGTGACGTAGACATGTGGGGCGTGTTAGAATGAGCCGTTTTAGGAGGGCATGGTTGACTCTTAACTTTTATAAAGAATATCTCTTTGGATTTGAGACTTTAGTCTTTGCAACTTTACAGATCTTCTTTATGCACCAAGAGCTTGTAACACTCCAAAGAGAAAGGAAAAATTGAAATCGCATCATATGACCCCTTTAAGTTGGTCTAAACTGGACTAAACTAATATGTTTTATTTTTGAATATCTCCATTAAATGACTTTGTTTAAATTTGCAATTGTCTTCATGCAGAGAAACCAGACAGTGTGTCCATAAGTTTAGTGAATCACAGCAGTCCAGTGGAGGAAGGAAGAGAGTACCATCTACAGTGTGAGGTGCAGAATGTCGCACCTGTCCAGTACCTTGTTTTACGTTGGTACAGAGGAAAAACTGAGGTTTACAATCACTCATTCTCAGAGTTATCACCTGCAACACCAGTCCAGGTGTCCTCCACCTTGCTGATTGTCCCAAACAGAGCTGATAACGGTGCTCAGTACAGGTGTGAAGCAGAGCTGCAGCTGGGAGCAGAAGGACCTCAACCTCCTCCAACAGTTCAGTCTGACGTTCTCAGCATTGCTGTTCAATGTAGGTGAATAAAGGCAACAATTAGTGCAAACATTTTATAGCTATTAATGTTAAATGTTTGTTTGTTTGTTTGTTTTTTAAATCAGACCCGCCTGACTTCCGCAGTCCAGAGGAAGAAATACTGGACATCAGTGAGGATAGTGAAATGGTGCTGGATTGTACTGCAGAGGGTAACCCACCTCCTGTGTATATCTGGACCTCCTCAAACCTTCAGGAGCAGGCTGATAATCAGGCTGTTTTGAGAGCTGCATCCTTGGGCCCAGGTGTATATACATGCACTGCGTCCAATATCCTGGGGAAAAAGAGCAAACAGTTTGTCATCAAGCACAAATCCAAAGGTGAGAGCAATAAAACACACTAGAAATGTAAATGTTTATGCATTTTTCTTTGTTTTTAAATCAAGGCAACATGATGCACTTAGTTACTTGAGTTCTCTCTTAATATTTGTCCCCGCTAATAGTTTGTCTAACCAGTTTTAAATTGTTCATTCATTAAATGCAAAATGTCTCTTACAAATTCTTGTCATGCCACCAAATATTTTCTTGTTTAGCTAATTATCATTTAGCAACACAAGATGTTTTCAGTTGTCAAAACTTTAGTTTTACACATAGTTAAAATCTAAAATCTAAAAAAAATCTAAAGAAGCCTAAAATATTTTGCAAAGCAAAAACCTATGCAGTAGTCTTACAAAGATGCAAACAGCTACAAACCACAATCTTTATTCATGCACTGCCCCAAGCTTCTGAAGCCCCTAAGTATTTTTTTTTTACAGTGTAGAATTGTAGTACCATTCACAGAGTTGATCCGCTCAGTGTACAGAAACTCCCAAAAGAAGATAAGACATTCCACACATTTTATTTCAACAGATACAAACAGATGCAAACAGCATACAACCCTTGTAAAAAGGACACTTTTTTTAAAAAGTGTACAGTTTTAAAAAGAATAATAATTATTGAAATAATAATCATGTTTTTCGAACACTTTGCATTGCAATTAAATGAAAATGTATTATAGTTTAAATTTATATTAAATGCAATTAGCTGAACTTTAGAGTGTTTTTTGGTACACTTACATAGGACATAAGTGTATGTTTAGTTTCATAATTACTTCAATTATCCTTGAAATATGGTTAAAGTGTACTGCAGAATGTACTAACAAGCATTTCATGGTAAACTAAAATATAGCCACATCTATTGAATCTTGAATGTCATGTATATACATATATTTGTAATTACACATTTGTCATTTGTAAGTTGCAATTTAGTACATTTAAAATGTATTAACTTTAAGTGTAATATTGAAGAAACATTAAAATAAGTGTACTTTTTAAAGCACAACAAAATGTATAAAAACACAATACTTTAAAATTTTTAATTCAACAGTATCACAAAGTGCACTTTTTTAATAGCGCTTATTTTCACCTCACACTGTGATTTACTTTCCTTATGTTGTGTTTGTATTTTTTTTTCTTTAATTTGTTTCTTGGTTTCTTGTTTCCTGTGCTGGTTTTGTAGACCCTCTGTAGATTTGTTGTTGATTGGTTTCCCCTGTCTCCCCAAGTGTATGTCTGTATATACAGCCCTTGTGTTTCCTATGTTCTTGGTCAGTTGTTATTCATGAGTTCTTTTTGTTTGTTCTTGTTTTGCTTCTTTATCATTAAAAGTTGTGGTTATATCCTCACCTCTCTTCTTCTTTAAATATATACCACAACAAATAGTCTGTTCTTCACACAATGCTTCAAAAACCCATGGTAGAGATGGACTAACATGCATGTTTAGAGATTTGCAGTAAAAATTCACATGAGTTTTGAGTGAAGAGTGTAAATGCCAGTTTTTTGGGTGGACTGCCCTTGTCTTTAATGGCCTCCGAACAGTAAAAAAACAAAACAAAAAAACGTTGCTTACATGCATGATAGCTGCAACAGAGGTTAGTGCTGCTCTGCAACAGGACGCATAACAAGAACAGGATTTCCTGTAACTGCTCTCTCAGATCCTCCCTCTGTCGCAAGATACCTAGTCATGATCACTTTTTATTGTTACAGTTATTGCTGTATATTACAGATATTGCTGGTAAGATCCTCCTATTTGTGTACAATACCTCCTACACCTTGTTTTCAGATCTACATTAATGAGTTTTCAAATGTCTGTTTCTGTGTCCTGCTAAACATCTAGGCAATGTCAAAACAGCAGACAATCAAATGTTTCATGAGCTTTTTAATAATGCTAATCTGCAATTCACCATTAATGTGTGTTTTACAGGTGTTTAAGTCCAGAGACCTTGAGAATGAACCGAAGATATATAGTTCTAGATGGTACGCTCAGGACTTTCTGGACGTGGGAGATCAAAATCTAGCTTGGCTCTTTGTTACATTTTAGATGTTTTTAGGGGACTCTCTTTTCAGGGGTTATGATTAGTTAAATATGAGAGTCTAACCTACATAAGTGTAAAATCTATCCTAGTAAGCTTTATTAATTTTAACAGAGCATTTGTATGTTCCATGGCACACTGTGATGGCTCTGACATTTTAATGTTTTTGCAGATATTTACTCACCCAATAATAAAAAATTATAAAAACAGTACAAAAGATAAAGCATGTTCTGTTTGGGTAGGGTTTGTTGTTGTAGTTGTTGTTGTGTGGAATTAGTGTTTGTGTCGTTTGTGTTATTTATCAAATCAGGAGCAGCAGGAGCTGCTATTCAAAATTTTATTTTCTCAAAATTTGAGGAAACTACTAAATTATTACGTAATTTGGAACATATAATTAAAGGAATAGAAAATGTACTCACTCTCAAGCCATCCAAGATGTAGTTGAGTTTGTTACCTTAATTGGAACAGATCTGGAGAAACGTAGCATTACATCACTTGCTCACCAGTGGATCCTCAGCAGTGTGAATGGGTGCCGTCAGAACAAGAGTCCAAACTCACATAAAGGACTCCTATTTTTCCCCAAAGCAAGGCTTTGAAGATTAAAACATCCTAATGACAGATTTGTACAAGCACACAACTTCACAAGACATTAATTGATGGACTGGAGTTGTGTGGATTATTGTGATGTTTTTATCAGCTGTTTGGACTCTCATTCTGAAGGCACCCATTCACTGCAGAGGATCCATTGATGAGCAAGTGATGTATCGTTTCAAGATTCAAGATTTTTATTTGTCACATACATGGTTATATAGAGAATATATGACCAGCAGTGAAATGTAAGTCAGGTCCGCTCCATGGAGAGTGAAATTATTAAAAAATACAAACACAAGAAAATTATATATAAATATAAATATAGGTATGGAAAAAGTAAGATAAAAAAATAAGAATAAAATGTCTGTTTCTGTGTCCTGCTAAACATCTAGGCAATGTCAAAACAGCAGACAATCAAATGTTTCATGAGCTTTTTAATAATGCTAATCTGCAATTCACCATTAATGTGTGTTTTACAGGTGTTTAAGTCCAGAGACCTTGAGAATGAACCGAAGATATATAGTTCTAGATGGTACGCTCAGGACTTTCTGGACGTGGGAGATCAAAATCTAGCTTGGCTCTTTGTTACATTTTAGATGTTTTTAGGGGACTCTCTTTTCAGGGGTTATGATTAGTTAAATATGAGAGTCTAACCTACATAAGTGTAAAATCTATCCTAGTAAGCTTTATTAATTTTAACAGAGCATTTGTATGTTCCATGGCACACTGTGATGGCTCTGACATTTTAATGTTTTTGCAGATATTTACTCACCCAATAATAAAAAATTATAAAAACAGTACAAAAGATAAAGCATGTTCTGTTTGGGTAGGGTTTGTTGTTGTAGTTGTTGTTGTGTGGAATTAGTGTTTGTGTCGTTTGTGTTATTTATCAAATCAGGAGCAGCAGGAGCTGCTATTCAAAATTTTATTTTCTCAAAATTTGAGGAAACTACTAAATTATTACGTAATTTGGAACATATAATTAAAGGAATAGAAAATGTACTCACTCTCAAGCCATCCAAGATGTAGTTGAGTTTGTTACCTTAATTGGAACAGATCTGGAGAAACGTAGCATTACATCACTTGCTCACCAGTGGATCCTCAGCAGTGTGAATGGGTGCCGTCAGAACAAGAGTCCAAACTCACATAAAGGACTCCTATTTTTCCCCAAAGCAAGGCTTTGAAGATTAAAACATCCTAATGACAGATTTGTACAAGCACACAACTTCACAAGACATTAATTGATGGACTGGAGTTGTGTGGATTATTGTGATGTTTTTATCAGCTGTTTGGACTCTCATTCTGAAGGCACCCATTCACTGCAGAGGATCCATTGATGAGCAAGTGATGTATCGTTTCAAGATTCAAGATTTTTATTTGTCACATACATGGTTATTTAGAGAATATATGACCAGCAGTGAAATGTAAGTCAGGTCCGCTCCATGGACAGTGCAATTATTATAGAATACAAACACAAAATAAAATTATAAATATAAAAAAAAAGAATAGGATAAAATGTACAGGACAGTATAATATAGACTTAATAAATGAGATGAGCAGGAATGTACAAGAGAAGAATGTGCAAACAGGTTGTACAGGGTAGTTACATAGCAGCAATAGGGATAAAAAAGTAAATAAATAAAATATTACAGAAATTGCTGTGTGCAAGTGACAATGTCAGTATATTAAGTGTCTTACTGATAATTAAGCGAAGTCATGTTGGTGTTAAGAGACTGAGTTTGAGTTTAGGAGCCTGATGGCCTGGGGGAAGAAGCTCCTCCTAAGTCTCTCGGTAATGCTACATAGTACATGCTATGATGTAATGCTACATTTGGCCAAATCTGTTCCAATGAAGAAACAAACTCATCCATATCCTGGATGGCCTGAGTACATTTTCAGCAAATTTTAATTTTTGGGTGAACTATTCCTTTAAATATCTTGCACTATTTTGTTACAGTACTTAATAGTTTGCTCCTATGTTCATTTGGTTACTTCAGCACTTAGCGATTCATTTTTGTGACTGCTGTGGCATGTAGATGACAGGTGCATCAATTGATGATTTACAGACTCCTTTTGCAATAATTTCTAGTCTAGTTGTGTAAACATGGTGTTTGGTTTTATAATAGAGAGGTTTGCAACCAAATACAGGAAATACCATTACATTTTCTTGGTTGAGAAACCTGAGGTCAGCCAATTTGCTTTCAGGAAAAGGATTGAGGACATTTCATTTGAAATTGCATCCTCTGAGTTTGCCTACAACTCTGGTTCAGTTGTTCTAAAACCAGTAGATAACTTGCATTTTATAGGCATACAGGTTCCCTCGATTCTTGTTTCGATTTATGAGTAAGCTAAATTAAGGCCTGTGGTATAGCACTGTCATATACAAGTAAACTCCTAAGCAGCTGTGATATATAAAGACATGTATAATTTCTCAGCGAATATTGATATATCTGTTAAGTTCTAGGGATATTTGATGGGTGATCAAAAAATAACGTACAGTTATTGCCCATATCTTCGTGAATTGCTGAAGGTTGTATCATCAGCCCACAATCTGCTGGCCTTT